GGAAAGACTTTAGCGTAAGGTCATAGATTGCCAATCTTTATGCGCATCTAACAAGCTCCCAGTTACCTCATACCCATTGTCGAACGCTTGTTGCGACTGGATGCGCATATCAAAAAGCATCACGTGGGAGCCATTATCATCTCACCCACAAGGGAACTTGCAACCCAGATCCACACAGTACTTTCATCGCTTCTCAGATTTCATGCGCCCTCTGCAGCCTTACTGGATCCGGAAGATGAAGATACCGACATGGAAGACGCCGATGCTCCGCCAAAACCGACCTTCCCTGCCGGAACGTTGAAGGTTATACCCCAGCTTCTTCTCGGAGGATCAGTAACGCCCGCTCAGGACCTGAGCAGATTCCTCAAATCATCTACCAACGTACTCATCGGCACACCAGGACGACTCCTCGAACTCCTTTCCTCACCACATGTCCATTGCTCACAGTCATCATTCGATGCTCTCGTACTCGATGAAGCCGATCGTCTTCTAGACCTTGGCTTCAAAGATGACCTACAAAGGATCCTCTCACGACTTCCAAAGCAACGCCGAACCGGTCTCTTCAGTGCTAGTGTTTCCGAAGCTGTCGACCAGCTGATCCGCGTGGGTCTCCGGAATCCCGTTCGTATCGCTGTCAAGGTCAAGGCGCGAGCTGCACCCAATAGTGCGACAGGAGAAATGGGCGCCATCGAAGACAAGAAAACGCCAGCAAGCTTGCAGATGACATATCTGACCATACCAGCATCGCACAAGCTACCCGCCATCAAGAAAGTTTTAAAGTCATTGGATCCGCAGCCGCAAAAGTCCATCATGTACCTGGCGACATGTTTCTCAGTCGATTACTTTCAACATATTCTACCTGAAGTTCTGAAAGGATACACCATTGTGCCCCTGCACGGCAAACTCCCGGACAAGGTTAGAAACCGCAACTTCATCAAATTCGTAGAGAGCGTCACACCATCTATCCTCCTCACCACAGACGTCGCTGCCCGTGGTCTCGACATCCCGTCAGTAGACCTCGTCCTTCAACTTGATGCACCAAGCGACCCGAAAACATTCATCCATCGCTGCGGGCGCGCAGGTCGGGCAGGTCGCAAAGGCCTAGCCGTCACATTCCTCAGTCCAGGCCGAGAAGAAGACTACATCGAGTTCCTCCGTGTTCGACAGACCCCAGTATCGCCTTTAACAACACCTGAAGTCACGGTATCCGCAGAAGAAGCCACAGCCATGAGCAATCGGATAAGAAAAGTGGTCAAGTCCGACAGAGCACTATTCGACAAAGCCCAACGAGGTTTCGTCTCCTGGGTCCGTGCCTACAGCAAACACACAGCCAGCTCCATCTTCCGCATTCCCGATCTCGACTGGACAGAACACGGCAACGCCTGGGGTCTCCTCAAACTACCCAGCATGCCTGAGCTCAAGAAATGGGACGGAGACCGCAGTCTAGGCGTAGTCATGGATTTCAGCACATACGCGTACAAAGATAAAGCGCGCGAAGCACAACGACAGGTCGAGCAGAGCGAGTACGAAGCCAACAAGGCGGAAGGGAAGAAAGAAGGCAAGAAGCGATATGTCACGGAAGATAAGAAGGCGTCGGCGTGGACGCAGCAGAAGGACGCTAAGGCGCTCAAGGAATCACGGAGGGAAAAGAAGGCAGCGAAGCGCGAACATGACCGTGTTGCGGCTCTGACGGAAGATGAGCGGAAGGAGGAAGAGAGGGTGAAGGGTATGATTGACCAGGTTAGGAAGAAGGTCGCGGAGAAGGAAGCCCAAGAGGCGGCGGATGAGTTTGAGGGTTTTAGCGATTGATTGCTAGGCGTGTACATACCCTAATTACTTGTAGTTATCTACGAGAGCTCCTTACATCTGCTTTAACATGTTCTTAAGTCACTTCGCGCTTTGACGTATAATGACAGCCTGTAAAGTCGCGCAAAAAGAGTCAAGACGAGTTCGTGAATCGAACGCAGCAAAAACAAAAGAATCAATGTTAGAACCTAGAATCGAACCCAGCAGCAAAAAGAAAATCCTTGGTCGGTGCTATCAACACTGCGTATTAGGTATACCAAACCCGTCGTCATCTCTCAAGCTGTGACTTAATAGGAACTGCGTATTGGGTATGCCAAACCCGTCGTCATTCCCACGCGGCCACCCGGAATCTTCTTATGGAAACTCACACTGTTGGAAGCATTCTATAGTCAACACAAATCTTCTGTGGGGGGCAACGGTGGATCAGTTGCTAGATCTATGGACCCTGAGCGCAGTGAAGGCGAGGCGGTGGAAGAGCGCTCGCGAGGCAGCAGTGACGCACTGTCGCACAATGCAAACGCTCACCTTCACTTTTGACTTGAAGAATCTTCTAGGGCGCCCAGACTCTCGTGAATTGCCCTCACGCTCTTTGTTTCTTCTCATACTCTGGTGTCTCTTTCCCATCCACCTCATCACTGCACGCTCCCCTGAGTATACAATAACGCCGACACCACCATGGAGCTCAAGGTCACTCTTCACTGCCCGTCCATCGACAAGACCAGGAGCGAATTCGGCCTCGGTCACTGGAAAAACCATGACAAGCTCCTCCAGGATATCCGCTCCATATTCGGTATCGACTACGCCGCCGTCTACGACATCCGCGCGAAACTGATCTCCGACATCTGCGCCTGCGAAGCGGGACAGATTGTACAAGTCGCCGCGGCAAAAGACGAGATCATGAAGTACTACAAACCCAGGAACTGCATCTTCTATAACGGTGAAGAGGAAGTTAGCAACGAGTGGGTCGACGGTTACGGCTTACCGTGGAAGGTAAGTGATGTCTACTGAAGCGCAATCAACCAGCTCTGACCAAACAAATAGGATCTGAACGACTATCAGAGGTGCGCGCACGTCTTGAGCCTCGGCAAAGGCCCAGGAGGTTTCGTCTTGGACAACACCATCCGGATCACGCGCCCGTACGCCGACGTTCAAAAGGACCTGAAGGAAGTCGCCGGTGCCGCTCCGGACGGCATGGAAAGCAAGCGCAACCTTGGGATTGCGATCTTCTTGAATTGGGCTTGGAAATGGGAGATGGTCAGTAAAGTCCTTGTCCGAACTGAACTGAGACTCATACTGACTTATCTATAGCTCCTACCCGTTTCGATGAAGCCCGCCAAGGATAATGACATGTCGTCCAAGGTTCTTGGTCTCCTCGTCGTTCTTTCCTCTTTCACTCACGGTTCCGCGAGCCTAGTACGCGGCTATCTCGTCGAAACCGTCAAGGCCCGTGTCACTGGTGCGGAAGACGATGAGACGAAAGACCCACTCCTCCGCGCTCAAGACGTCGTGCACGTGATCAGCACACTGTATGAGAAGGCGGGCAGCCTAGCTGCGAAGATCGCGCTAGCCAAGGAGAAGGCGATGAAGGACAAGATGAAAGAGAAAGCGCGGAAGACGGCCTGGAAGGCGAAGCAGAAGACGGGAGGAAAGGACAAGGAGCCATCTGACGTCGACAATCTTGCCGACCAGCTGGGTGGCCCTCAGAACTACATCGATCTTACTTAGAAGGATCAGCGAGGTGGTGGACTAGCCAGATGCCTACGTACCTGATAGACAGCGAGAAATGAAGTGTCTCAAAGCTAATGTAGGCATGTCAGTGATCAGTGACAGCCAAGATTACGTCTACCAAACTCTATGTAGACATTATAGTGAAGCATGCTAATAACGGTTGAATTTTCTCAATTCAATGTAGTCACATCAGCGTCTCGAACTTTCAGGACTCGTGAGTTGTCTAATACCGCAACCACTGAAAATCATCATGCGCAAGTACTAAGTTATGTCCTTCTCCCCATATCTGCCCTTCCGTCGCAAACCGCAAAGAACCAATCTGTATCAGCGGAAACAGCCGGTCACAGTTGTTTGCGTCGAATGCCTTGAAGTTGTTCGATGTAATCTGGAGAGTGTTGCGCATAGTGTTGTGCAACTTTCGCGCTTCGGCTTGATCGACACGAAGCCGCCGCGACAGGGTGATTGGATTGTGGCCGTTTCCCCCAAGCGCTACCACCTTCGTTGGCGTACGCAGGTTTAATATCATGCGTTCAGTGTACAGCACACTGAAATGAGGGTTGCCTTGGAATAAGAGATTCGCTAGCGTCTTCAGAAAAATGGCAATGTAGTCGAAGAGCTGCTTGGCAAAACAAGTTGGCGAGTGCTCCAACAAATGAGCCAGCTCATGCTCATGAGGGACGAAGGATTCGCGCGGCCCGTCTCGCAGGGGCTCTCTCGTGCGCAAGTCGACGTTGATAAGAAGTTGATTGATGGTAGGCGAAAGCGCCGCAAATTGAACCCAGCTCAACGAGAAGTACGGCCGGCCATGTGAGAAGGTAATGTCGAATTCGTAGTTTAAGCGTTTCGCAGCGACCAGGTGTTGGATTGCTTGCTTAAACTCTCCATGCGTCTGGCGACATACGCGGAGCAGCCCGCGATAACACCGAAGCGGTAAATCGTTCCTCACGTAATGCTCTGACACCACCATAACCCCGCGAAAAGAACGCCCCAGCTCTTCGTTAAGCAAAACCTCGTAGACATGGTTTCGGAGTTCAAGTGGAAGATCCAAAAAGCAGGGCATGGTGTTGGTGACCAAAAGTGCGAATGCGCCTGTCGAAGATCAGGGTCCAGCGGCAGGCACACGGATGTTCGGAAGCGAGACCGAAGGATTATTGAGTATGGTACAGGCCTGCACTCGCTGCTTGCGGGACCAAAGAATGGGGATGCGGGGGTGACGACAGGGAGCTGACGTGATCAAAGGAAGTTTGCGGAGAAGATTGAAGTGAGGTTCAGCCTTTTCGACGAGGTTCAGTGTTGTGAAACTGATCGGTCCGTGCTACCCACGTGATTGGATCTGGGCTCTGGGATTTGCGAGCGGGCAATGGCGGCGCGGCGACTGCATCGTCATCGCTAAAGTGGTGTCTTGTCCAAGATGGCATTTCCAGCCGGCCTGACTGCTATGCAAACACGGACAGCGCATCGCATAGATGGACGACTACGAACTTGATCGCGTCGCGTCGGATAACCCTGCTCTGACTGCGCCCGCGGCCCAGCGGGCTCCCATACGACGGCTGAAGTCTCAGGGCCCGACATCGACGTCAGCTGCTCAATCTACCGGTTCCAGTACTACGGTCGCATCTGGGGAGTTGACGAAATACGATGTACGTTTTCAACACACGAGGCTTGGAAATGTACTCTAAACAAGCATAGGTGGGCTGGCGCAGGATTGTCAGGAACTTTTCGCCGTCATGGTTCTCCGTGACCATGGGCACGGGCGTAGTTTCTCTACTTCTCGTCGCTATACCGTTCAAAGCAGGCTGGCTGTACTGGCCTGCGGTGATCTTCCTTGGACTCAACACTATCTTGTTCGCATGCGCCTTCTCTGTCTCTGTCTTCCGATATGTGGTATACCCTGAAATATGGACCGTCATGATCGCGGACAGTGTCAACTCTCTCTTCCTTGGAACCATTCCGATGGGATTCGCCACCCTCATCTCAGCTTGGTGCTCAATCTGCATCCCATATTGGGGACCCTGGGCCGTTACCTTTGCTTGGGTCTGCTGGATGATCGATTCTGTAGTCGCTGTCTCAGTCACGATATCGCTCACGATCCTACTGATCTCTGCCTCTGACCGTCAGGCTTTGGATCGCATCACAGCAGCTCAGCTATTACCTATAGCTGCATCCATAGTCGCTGCAGGAACCGGTGCCAGAGTCGCAGAGCATTTGACCAACCCGCAACATGCTCTTGGTACGATCATTGCTTCGTACATTATGTGGGGTATGTCTACACCACTAGCGATGACGGTTCTAGTCATGTACTACACACGCCTGGCTTTGCACAAGCTACCACCACGAGAGATTGTTGTGTCGTCCTTCTTGCCACTAGGACCCCTAGGCATGGGCGGCTATTCCATAACTTATCTTGGTTCGGTCAGCAGGCGGGTCTTTCCAGAGACAGATTTCTTCTCAGATATCCCCGTGGCAGGCGACATCTTCTTCGTCTTCGGGGTCTTCCTAGCGCTCATCATGTGGGCGTTTGGTCTGACATGGCTCTGTTTCGCACTGGCATCTATCTACAAGTCTCGGCCGTTTCCGTTCAACATGGGCTGGTGGGGTTTCACGTTTCCCCTTGGGGTCATGGCGCTTAGTACAATGGAGCTTGGCAACATCTTCCCGAGTCTGTTCTTCAGAGTTCTAGGGACGATCTTCGCAGTAGCCGTCATTCTGCTGTGGTGCGTAGTAGCTGTTGGCACAGCACGCGGTGCATGGAGCGGTCGGCTGTTCAATGCGCCGTGCCTCAAGAACTTGCCGAAGAGAGATTCTACGGGGAAAGATGAAGCAGAGAAAGAGAAAGGGCTAGTGCAGACATGACCCTGAGTCACTATCATCGACACAAGAGGTGCGTATGTGAAAGTTCTATTGGGATCTCATAAATTGCGTTACGTTTAATCGTAAGAGTATGTATGTGCAAAGCCCCTCGTCGCAAAGCATCAAGCCCCTCGCTGACCGCTAAAGGACCTCCAGCATACCCCGGTTCACTGCCTCAAAGGGTAATCCTAGTTGCCAGCACCTGCAGCATCGCATTGTTCTACCGTATGATTAGCTTCGTTCCAGAGACTATCAATCATCGAACTCACGCTTCTGAGCCTGGCAATCCTGAGTGGAGAAGTCTCCCTGTCCACCATTGGCCAAGTTCGCACAGCCGTTGAACTGCTGATCGCAAGAGCGCTGGAGAGCACCCGAGAGGTTGACAAAAGTGTCACCCTTGACACTGAAGGGGCGGTTGGCGATGCCGGAGTCGAGGATAGGTGTAGCTGCGACACCACCGAGAGCACCGGTGAAGGTCTGCGCGTTGTTCTGGCGTACGTAGATGGCGCGTGCGTTGCTGAGAGCAGCGACGCTAAGAACAACGAGGGTGCTGATGAACTTCATGTTGACAAATTGAAGTATTTGGAATGAAAGTGCGTTAAAGTGATGGGTATCTTAATGTTGTATTGAATGAATGGGGCGGCCGAGCGCTGAAGAAGTGAAGAGAATGAAATAAAGTAAAGTGAACGTGAGCGGAATGAGTGTTGGCTTGATGATGGACTCTTCCCAGAGGCATCTTCAGTCAATATATATTCGCACTCCTACCCCCACGGCGCCTACATCCAGATCTTCAGCGCTTCTCGCAAAATTACTAGGCGGAGTTGCAATGCCAGTGCCCGCCGGTGTTGGTGTTCCAAAGTGCTGCCTCAGGCACCTGAAACCCCGCAGGTCTTGGAGCCGACACACCAAATGCCTCATTATCTTCGAATCGGCTACGCGACTAAACAACCACACCACTCAAGCTACTGTTAAGAGTGAAATTGTTTATAACGCAGGTTTGACAGGTGGTGACAGCTGCTTGCAGCCATCATCCTGGATTTCGCGAGCCGCGTGGGTATGGCGTCGTTTGTCTCGGTGTGCTTCATGTGGTGATTATAGCCGCGGCGCGACAATATGTGATACGTTATAGTGTTCGAGATTGTCGTTGGATGGATCGAAGATTCTGTGGTGAGTTGGATCGACGTACATGAGATGGTATGCGGTGTGTCGCGAGATCTGACGCGCGACCTTCCGAGGCGTGATCAGCCATTACTGCGATTGATGATATGTGATGTACATTATTGTTCTTCTATAATCTTCAGGTAGTGCCAGGAACGCCGCTATTCTACGAATTTGTAGGCTCATACGTATAATCGTTTCCTGTCTAGCTTTCCTACGTTCCTGTCGGCTCTTGCAAATGCTATCGCGCCTACGGCCTCATTCGGGCAGACATCTCCTATGCGCACAGGATAGTCGCGCATCAACGCTGTTCTCGCCAGTCCAGTCAAAGTAGTTCCTCCAGTAGGCGTTGGGACATAAGGATTCGAAAGCGTCAGCGAGGATGCATAGCCGATGATATCCGGTGCGATCGTGATGTACTTGAGTACGAGTCCGGTGTACGCGGCGGCAAGCAGTATGAATGAGCAAACCAATAAGGCTGCGAACCATCTCCAATCTGTTTTGTACATGGGCGTCGTATCCTGCGATACATTGGCTTCGGTCGCGACGAATGTAATATTGGCGTCTGCACGTTGTGCCTGGGTGAAATTCATAGCGCCGGTTTCCATCACGGATGCTGGTAAATTTCCGCCGATCGCTCTGCTGGCGTATGTGGATTGCCAGAATGTATTGTACATTATAGTCAGACGGTCGCCGAAGACTTGCGGCGACAGCTTGTAGAGTTCGACATTTCCAAAGAATACGCCGGTGAAGTCGAGTGGGTCCTGCAGCCATTTCTCCATAGTCGTCGCGCCTCGAGCCATTGCAGCAGGCATATTGAAGTTGTCCGCGCTCGTCATGGCGAGGAGTGCGGTAGCCATGAACTGCCTCCTTAGGGCGATATCGTAGCCTATTGGGTAGTCCTCGTCATACAAGTACATCTTCCTCATCTTATAAGCGGCACACTCCGTCCCATTGCAGCGCACTCCGACTTCATATTTCTCGAACGAAAGCCCGCAATTCGCCACTGAGTACTTCTCTGTATCCAAATCGACGATAGACTCACTCCGGATTGGGCAGGGGTAACTAGCACAAACCGGAGGCGTACAGGACGTCGCGTTCTTTTTGCAGGGCGGCGGCGCTGTATTGTTAACTACCTGGACTTGCCACGTATATTTTGACACAAAATCTATAGGTTCTCCTCGTGATGCATTGTTGCTTGAACAGGTCACGTCAAATTGGCGAGCTTCGATGTTGAAAGAGCTAATGCCGACAGAGGGAGGTCCAGCTATGGGGATACCGATTAGGGAAGCGTATGTGACGTTGTCGGCTGTACCATTAGGCACAAACTTCCACTCGTCAGACGTACTGTTCTCGATAGTGCGGTAGAGTGGGAGTTTGACGTTTCCCCATAGGTCCATAGGTGTAGTACGGTATCTGGTGCTGCTGAGTATAGATGTGAGGAAAATTGGAGTGAAGGAGCTACGGCCTGAACCTACGAATAGTGTAAGTATAGAGCCAGTTTACGTCTAAATTGAGCTTGGCACATGTAAACTTACTAAGGGTATTAGCAGTCTCCATTAATGAATCCATAAACGTCGTCGGATGGAGGTAGCGCACTTGTTTGGTAAACTGGACGTTTCCAATCTTTTGGTCAATAAGACGAAGTGCAGACTGTCCACCGACTGGCGAAAGGAGCCAAATCAATACGGATGCAAGTCCAAGCATAGACCAAGATCTCAGACAAAATTGACGTTCGAGTGCGGAGAAGACGGATTGGCAACCAATCAGCTGTTCGAGACGGCCGAGAGTTGTGCCTCGTTGAGCAAGGAAGAGACCAACATGTCGGAAAAACCTTCCCATCAAGGCCGCGAAGATTAGGGGGAAGATTGTCGGTGAAAGGAGAAGTGTTTGTTCCAGTTTGGTACCGTAGTCCGACACTTCTTTTCCGTTCAACCTGGCAGCGATGAGGGCCAGAGCTATAGCATGTCAGCAAGTGGTCGATGTAATCGTTGAAACAGCTCAGTATGGTCACACTGAGATCGATCGTACTCACCCAGAAACATGATAGGCGTTGAAGCCAGAATCACATCGAAAACCAGAATCAGTGCTTTCAATGGCGTAATCCTCCCAACTTTCCGTAAATCCGAAGGCCATTTATGCGATACGCCCTTAGTATTATCAACACTGTATTCCGTATCGCTATCCTGGGGAACATGCGGGGCGGTGTTGTACGCCCCGGAATCGTATTGGGTGTTCAGGCCGCCATCATATTCCACCGACACGTGTGGACCTTTTGCCTGGGGTCCAACAGGTTCATAAGCCATGGCGCTCGGGAGTACAGGCAAGTATCGTCGCCAAAGTTGAAAAGCAGTAAAGAAAAACGAATTAGAGAAAGAAAAGCTTGAGCAGCTACACAGGTACTAGAAAGGATTCTAAGAACAGAGCATGAAATATGCTGCCTGCCACCTGCGTTTTTGGCCCCAATCACACACATGCGGCATGGTACCTTGCAGCGGGCACCGCCCCGCCTCGGAACGGGGGTTAAGTTCGATAGAACATGCGCGATAAGCGGCTGAGGCTCTCGGTGAGGCTCTCAAGCTGTAGGATCGTAGATAAGTTGACGCCGCATTGGGGCCATCATGTGTTGCGCGCGAAGTCGACGACGCTGTGTGGTGGATCGGATTGTTTTTTGCCGCTAGGATGCTAGCGTGGTCCGAAAATAGGCTAATGCAAGGGTCATGATGTCTGCACTCTGTCAAACGCGACATGGAACGCCGCCATGCATTCCCCACATCTCCAACACCATACCGCCACACGACAGCCTTGGACCCAAGTACGAGCAGACCGGATACCACGGTACCTGAATCTTCTTATTTCCGAGTTGATCTAGCCCGTGCGATGTTGCCGACCTTGCGCGTTGGATAACCCGCGCAATGAGGATCACAGCATTTCTCTGGGCAACCGGGACCCATATCCCACGGCGCATGAGCAGAAGTACCGTCAGAGAAACTCTGGGTCTATCTGAGAAACAATGGCCAATCTTTCTGGTACAAATCTCGCTCAATCCGTTGTCGCGACGCGCTCATAGTGCTAACTTTCTCGCAGCGTGTCTCACTCGCAGTTTGCAAAGACTTCACACGCTCCACATTGACCGAGCTCACTGCAAAAGAGAAAGAGTATCTGATTCAAACAATCAGGGAGTCTGTAGTGAAGGAAGGGCTTCCACCTGTAGACGATGAAGGGATTGAGTGGCGTGTATCAAAGGTTCTGCCAGAGCTGCGCCACTATCAGCGCTGTATGCATACATGGGGCACATGACGCTTATCGATGCTAACCGATAACAGTCGCAGATCAGTACGAAGCCTGGGAGAAGGTAGCTCAGAGATCATTCCCTTATGTAAGTACAATGTCATGCATTCACTCGGTGACACGGAGCGTTGTCACATGTTCTAACCCACTTCCCAGAAAGTACTTCGCGAGGCGGTTAATGCAAACATGGAAAAGATTCCCAGAAAAGGACTCCGCTACTGGATGGATATTCCCGAAGATGTTCGAATGGAACTCGCAGAAGACGTTAACAGGCGACTTGATGAAAGTGGCCTGCCTACGATGGACGAAGAGGCCGTGTTGTATCGGCTCAGGAAACACGTGAACCATTGGATAAGGGACCACCATGTGTCGCAGTGACGCGCCTCACTTCAATGTAAGCAAATTACATCAAGTTTCATTACATCTGGTGGCGTCAAGAGCATCACGATCGCGACGTCTCTTGGGATAGCTTTTGGGCAGAAGTAAATTCGATGCCTGGGGTGGTCTTAGCTAATAGTGTGTAGTTAGAACGGAGCCGCCAAGACAGAACGATGACTAGCTTCAAGCGATTGCTGTATCAATCGAGAGCAAGTTCACAGCGCTCGAAGCATCTGTTCCGAACGACCAACCCAACTTCAACTCTTCGCCCACTCGTACTACAAGCCACTGGCGCCACATTCTAGGCAACCGGCGCATGGATGGTAGAGTAGTAGACTACTACTTCCTCCAAACAATGAGCTTGCCTGTTCCCCTACCCACAGCATCCAGCCATCCCTTGAACTGCGCAACGTCAACCCGGAAGCCCTCAACAAGCGGTATACTCCCAGCATTCTCCATCTTGGCGACCGTCCTCTTCAACGTCAGCGCACCCTCTTGCGGCTCAATGCTCGATGCATCTACCTGAGGCAGCTCCGAGCAGCTCGAGGCTGAGCGAATCTCGCGATGGAGATGCTTCTGGCCACGGTTACCGCTCACGAGGTTCTGTAGGGAAACAAAGGGCTTCAGTGGCTGCTTAGAAGATGTCGGGGTCATGGGCTGGTCACCAGGAGCGGGAGCATCCTTCTCGGGAAAGACGGTGTGCAGGCAACTCGACACATCGGTGACGGCGGAGATGTGCCACGCGAGCATGATATGCGGTGGCGCGATGTCCTCAGGCGAAGTGGGGTGACCCTTGATCAGGACATACGCCCATCGCCCCTCTCCATGGATGGCAAGATGCATCTGGTCCTGGGATCGAGTCGCCTCTCCTCCCGGCCCACGGTACCCGCGCTTAAGCTTCAGCTTCTTCTTCATTTCCTCGAGCTTCGTATGCTTTTGCTCTTGCTCCTCGAAAGCAGCGCGCTCCTCCTTGCCACGGAATACGTCGACTTCTGCGTAGGCAATCTCAGCCGCGTCGCCTGGACCCAAGAACCGGATCTCCTTGTGGGGAACGACGCTGGTGTCGTAGAAGCCGACGGAGATGAGGTGGTTGTAGATCGGAGCGGTGACGGGGAAGGGGAACGAGGCATGGGCACGGAATGCCTTGGGGTTTGGAAGGCGCCGGTAGAATGACTGTACTGTAAAGGACCAGTTCAGGAGGATGGTCAGGAGGGCGGGAGTGTAGCCAGGGAAGTCGATATCCCATGAAGATGACTCAGGAAGGGTTGGTAGGCCGGTTGTACCGTCTACACGGGAACCTTTGGGTGCCGGGCCGGAGACCTCATCGCCGTCTGGAGGCGTACGCTTCTTAGCTGACGAAGGCTCTTCTCCTGATGGGGCGTGGATGGCGACGGTAGCTTGAATAGGTGCCATAGGCTGCTTACTCTTGGCGGTTGGAGTAGACATGGGCTCCTTACCTTTGCCCTTGCCCTTTCCTTCATCCCAAGTCTCTGCCTCAACCTGAGGAGAAGGGAACAGCGGCTTATCCGGTAGAGGCTTTTGCATGTCCGCCGCCTGGCTCAGCACATTCAACCCCATGTTCTGCATCTTTTTATCGAGTCCATACTCCTCCAATCCAGCCTCGAACTCTTCCTTTAGACCCTCCGGCATGTCAGGCGGCATAACGAACGGCTCTGGCAGTGCTATGCCCAAGACACGGTGCAACCTCTTTGCTGCATCAGTGGCTCGAGCGAGACCCAAAGCGCGAGTCGTCTTGCTCTTTCGTGATTGGGAGAGACCAGGCTCGGGCTTGTTGTGCACATCAGGCTCTGGCGATGTCCAATCATCGAAGCCAGATCGAGGTGGAGGTGGGTTCACAACTGGTGTCTGGGGACCTGTCTCGATGCCCGCTTTCTTTTTGTCAGTCGTGCTCAGTTGAGGTGTAAATTTGCGCAATGCGAAGTTCAGGGATGAAGTAGTGTTAGGCGTGTCGAGCCCGGGGAGGTCAATGGGGGACTTGAGGTTAGTGGGTGCGGGCGGCTGTGAGCTTTCTGCCTTACCCTCATCGCTGGCTTTGAGGCCTTCTTCGGTGGCATCTTTGCCGTTGCCTTTGTTCTTGTTTTTGCGGCGGTTCTTGCTGCGATTCTTGTGGCCACCAGCCATGGTGAAGGTGAAGGGATGGGATCGAGCAGCTTGCTAGCTAGAGTCGTATATACGACCCCTTGGGGTTGTCTTTGGATAGCAAGTTCTCGCTCTCAAGATGGCGAGTTATTTGGTGAGGGTAAAGGTGTAAAGGAAGGAGCAGTCGGCGAGATGGACAAGGACGTAGGCAACGACGACGGCAACGAATCCGCGGTGGCCGCAACTCCAAGGTGACTGCAAATCCAAGGTGACCGCGAATCCATGGTGACCGACGAAAAGGAGTATCACAACAAACAAAGCAAAGTTAAAACTCGACGTGAAGCAGGAAATAACCTGGATTACCATTACGACATCCTCAAAAGGTGTCTAGTTATACTATCGCACGTGGTATCATGTCGCCTTATCCAAGGCTCCACTCTTTCGTCATAACAGCTCGTAATCTACTCAGTGGTAGAGAACACGTACTGAGCCTCGAGTGTGTAAGCTCCGCTGGAGGGACCGAAGATTTGCTCCTTCTCGCGCCTCCACTCGGGGTGGTTGATGGCGTCAATCCAGTCCTGGACCTCCATGACGACGCAGCCGTACTTGGGAACGTAGCCGCTGCTTCCCTCAGCACCTTGGGTAGACTTGATAGGTAGAGTACCTGAAGGTCTATTAGCAATTGTCCGAAGATTTTGTGAGTTTCACATACCATCTTGGCCGGGGCAGCTGTACATCTGGTACGCGGCTTGGTCAGAGTAGACGTCGAGCTTGATGCCGGACCACTCGCTCCACAAAGAAGCGACAGGTCCAGAGTTGCGCCAGTCGAGAGCCTCAGCTTCGTCGCGGTTGACGAGATAGCAGTTGTCGTAACCGGTGCAGTTAGTTCCGCAGTTGCCGAGAAGCTCGGGCGCAGTCTGGTTGGCACCAATCTGCTTGGGCGCCGACCAAAAGTCGTTGACAGAGTATTGCTCGTTGGGGAGAATAGTACCGGTGGGAATAAGAATGGCATCTACATCCATGCGCTGGCCAGAGTATGGGATGTGGAAAGTGTGGTTGAAGATGGTCTCATCCTCAGGGTTACCGAATCCGTCCAAGTTCCAGTAGGTCTACTTTGGTCAGCATTGCAATATGCATCAAAAAGCAGTTTACTTACGTGAGAAGTCAGCATGATGGGTGTCTTCTTGGTGGTAGCGAGCGCCACGATCTTGATGTTCCAGGTGTTTGGGGTCATGGTGTAGGTAACGTAGCTCACGACCTCACCGGGGAAGCCCTCCTTGCCGTCGGGATCGACAATGGAGAAGGTGATGGAATCCTCGGTATGCGCCACAACAGTGAAGTTGCGGTAATCCCATCCATCCGGTCCACCGTGCAGGGTGTTGTTGTTGTTGTTCTCGTTGGGCTCGATGAAAAACTGCTCGCCGTCGATGGAAAAGGTAGAGTTCCGAATGCGATTGGCGTAACGGCCGGGCACACCACCCAAATGGGGGTGAACCTCGCCCTCATAAGCAGTCGCGTTGTCGAAGCCGAGAACAATGTCGCGCTCAACACCGTCCTTGCCCATGACGAACAAGTTGGAGATGGACGCGCCATATGGGATGAAGTGACCGCGAATGCCCTCAGACGAGATCTCGTACTTGCCGTCCTTGTCAGGTCCGGACGAGCTCGAGTTGGTCGGCGGGGTGCTGTACTGCGCGAGGGCAGTCGCAGCAAAGAGGGGGAGTACACTTGAGAACCGCATCGTGACTTGCCAAGCTCGATCGAGTTGGGAAGTGGAGGTGATGTGATGTGGTGTGGAGAAGCGTACGGGGTTGAAGGGCGGAGGGTTCTTATATACTGCTATAGACGAACAGGCTACCGGCGTAATTACCGTTCCACGATCCTGTGACTAGGATCCATCCCGCATATTCTCACTTCTCCAGCCTCCAGGTTTATGGTGCTAATGGGCTCGTACTGGGGAAAGTGCGGGTCGCCGCTCGAGGGTAGCGAACGTGCGCTTCTTCCCCGCAGGAAGGCCATGTCAATTTCCCCAGGAACGCGGCTATGACGAAATCGGCCCGCGTAAGCTCGCAGAAGCTGCATACTAGTCACATCTGTGCCATGGAGCGCGATGATCAGCTGTCGCACAAGGTTGTCGCTCTCAATTGCAGTTGTCCTTCGTTCATGTTGCACCGTGAGGCATCCAGCTCCGTCGCAAGCTCGAAGCCTCGGTCGTCATAGCTCTCAGAAGCGCGACTACACAATCTCACTTGACAAGGATCCGTCTAGTAAAAGGCACCGGCAAAAGTCGCCATTCGCGGAAAATAGCGGAAAAAACTAAATGCGCCCCCTTCACAGGCAGAACAACGTGGAGATGGCTTGTTGTTTACGCGGAGAGCGGCTGGGGTGAAGTATCCCTGCCGATGAGCTTACCCGTTGAGGCGGAAGCTTGAACCACGCCACATGTCGTGTATGCAAGGTCGGGATGGTATACTGCATGCAGCAATGACACCGCCATTTGCATCCTTCTACGCTTCTACGCTTCTACGAAGCAGCTCGTCATTCGTCATCATGCCCTGATCATGCAGATACAACATGATGTTGGAAGACATTAAATTAGATCGCATCATGTCCTGTTGTTCTACGAACAACTGTTACATACATGAGTCGGGTATTCTCGTTGATTATAGTCGTACATTCCTTCTGTAGCTCCAACCACTTTCGCTGCCGCTTGCGGTTATTTTTCCTACGACCTTCTCCGTTTTCATCCCGGTAGAGCGCGCAAACTGGCTCCCTGGCTAGGTCTAACGGTATTCCGCATCTGCATCAGGTGAGAACGGCGATCTGAGAGCTGCATACTGTCGCCTTGAACCGTCGAATTCCAACTCGTTCCCGTTATTCCAGTGTGAATCGGCGAAAGACTGTGAAGGAGGAGGGTACTGGTACGATCTATCAAGAACCGGCAAAGCCATGTGTACTGGCACGTGAACACCTCGAAGGCCAAGTCCCTGTGTAGTGTATGGGTACTGGCGACCGTATGCAAGAGACTCCTCACGACGATCATCTGAAGCGTTCTGCCAGTTGTTGATGTACTGCCTATTCAGTTCAGCAGCGGCTGCCTGAGCATCGAGATGAGATACCACTGAGTCGATGCGTCCTTGTGGTCGTGGAGCGTCGATCTCGGATGCCACGTTGACAGCAGTGAGCAGGTCGTCGAAACTTGATCGAGTAGGCAGCCGATGAGAATGATATGACCTCATATCTTCGATAGGCTGCTCACTCTGTTGGCGGGGCCGCGAAGTGTCGACAAAGGAATGACTGCAGTCTTCAGAGGTAGGCACCATCGAAGGTACCAAGGGAGCTTCTTGGGTCACCGCCCTCGGTTTCAGAACGGCTGATGAAGGCTTTCGTTGCGCCACGCCCTCTCTGCAGCTCGGATGCTCGTTCCAGCTCACGTCTGGCTTGTTGTTCTTCGCCCAGCAACCGCTGGTTGTCTCCAGATCATCAAGCTTCTTGCCCCAATGGTGTTTCTTAACCTTTGACCTGCCGGAAAATCCCTTGCCGCATAGACTGTGAATGTAGGGCCCTCCTGTTCCTTGCGACGGAGTATCTGCCTCCTTGATCTTCTTTTCCGGTTGAGGTGGGACCGAAAGTTGATCAGCGATTTCGGTATCTTCTACTCTTGGTTCCTCCTTCGCCTTAGCCTGGATTGTTGAGCTTTGACGGCGACGGCGTTTCTTTGATGGAGGGGGCATCTCGTCGATGGGCTGGCCGATGGGTACAGCGACGGGTACTCCGAGCACAGATGGGCTAGCGGTTGCTGTCTTTCCCTTCCTTGGAGAGAGAGTTGGAGAAAGTTGCGTTTGGTAAGATGTTGCTGGCGAATTGAAGTGATCACCAGTGGGAGACCGCGCATGATTGAGCATCGGACCGTTGGTGACGGAAGACCAAGGCTGGCTATAGTAGGCATGACCATCCTCGTGCCATAGTGGAGAGATCGGGGGTAAGCGCATCTGAGGCTGATGAGCGGGCTGCAGGAATTGAGGGCTAGGGCTAGGTCGTTCGAGAGGCTGGCGGAATCCGAAGTCGAAGTCGCCCACGCCTGGAGGTAGACACACGACGTCAGTATATGTCTCACGTGCATTTCGTGTAGTCAAAACTTACCCCAGTCAGCCTCTCTGTGAAACAGGATGTTCAGGAGATCTTGCTTGAGGTCTGCGTGATCTCCGAGCGTGTGCCTGATCGCAACGAGTGTGTCTTTCTTCGACATCTCTCCAGCTCGGAATGTGCCAAGGATGTTCAAGATGCTGATGACCTCAGTCGAATGTTCACCGAATCGGAGCTTCAAAAGTTAGTATCAGATGCAACGGAATTGTATATGATGATGATGGCCCTCGATAGAGAGTGCGGAAGCAACGACTCACCTTGATGTTGTCCAGGAATATGTAAACGACCTGCCCGATAGTCGGCTGCTGACTACGGCTCACATGCTCGTGTCTGCCGTTGAACGTTCCGGAGTGCACCATCTCGGTTGGTTGTAGCGATTGCTGCGCACTATTGAGCATGTTGTCGCTGTCGAGAGCTTCGATGACGTTGGTCCAGGTGGTAGCGCGGTCACTTCTTTCTGGCCACAACCTTCAGTCCAATCCCAGTACCGGCGCTGATGCGATATGTTTACGGAATTGATGGGTGCTGGAACCTCGTGGGATAGGCGCTCGGTCCTCAAATAGCCGAGTCTAGTCTGTTAGCAGTGATTGCACCTTCCGGTGAAGTGAAGATGAAACACGTGAGCGCGTGTCGCCCACCGCTTTTCGGTCTCGGGGAGGCGGAAACGAGGTATCGCTCGTTTGTATAGTGGGTGGACGTGCGCAGGCGGAAGACTTCGTGGGCTCCAGCTGTTTGTACATCAGGTGTCACACGGTCTGCTAGGCCCCATTAGGCCCACTGCTGCATCTTAAGGAAGTCGCGATGACCGCAAAGCAACATCATACGTTTCTCCCAACAATTCGATCCGTAGCAACTGGAAAAGGCGACGGTATAGACTTATAAAAGAAAAGCGCGAAGTGGGTAAAGTTTGTATACGTACTTTTGAGACACTGGGTATGAGGTGACATCGTGCAAGAACTGACTTTCAGCGTCATCAAATCGTTCAGCATATCTGGAAAACCCTCATACATCAGTTCGCGTGTCTTTCGATGCAATCAAGCGGCCTCTAAATACCGTTTGGCGAGTATGGCCGGCATCATACACCACCTCTACCACGCTCTTTCTGCAGTGCCAGCCACTGTCCATTCGATCGAACAACACAAAGTCGGCAGGATGACCCGGCTCTAGGGCGAGAGACGTCGGATCGCAGCCAATAGCGGCCTTTGCCCGCGTTGATACGGTTTCCTGCATGCTTAGCATAAACAAACGGGGTGTTGAACGGCTGCTTACATATAGTAGTTCAGCGTCTTTCTTTGTACCAGCTTGGTAAAGACCGACACCCAAGGATGCGATACTCTGGTCACAGTTTCAGCTACATTTCTACATAAGTTTGTATGCGAAATGTCTTACCAGAGGATCACAGTTTCCGTACGGTGTGAATGCGTTGCCCACATTGTTCACGGCAATGGCAGCATTGAATCCATACTCGTTGATGAGTTCAACGACCGGCAGAGTCCCGCGCACATTCTCTGGTGTTCGCATCATGAACAGGTCGGAGGTCGGCAGGCCTACGAAAGAGATTGGCAGGTCGCCTACTTCTTGTCTCAGATGCGTCCACTCGTCGTTCCGGAATCTCGTCAATCTGGTGCAATGTCCTAGCGTAATTTGCCTGTCTCCCGCCTTTTCGTTCCATTTGAGCTCTTTGAACATGTCCAGGGTATCCCAGACCAGTGGCTTCTTGTCTTCTTCCAGGAAGTAGTCAAGATGAAGATCTAGATGCTTCTGATATTTGAGTGCTAACTGCGTGATCCATTTCACGTTATCCTTGGACTTTTGTTCATCATCCTCGACATATGGCGTGCTTCCGAGCACATCCACTTTCTCATACGAGGCAGCACCAGTCATCAGCTTTCTTACTTCCTCGCCCCCGTCCTGGCCAGTAAACAGCGGGAGCTGGGCGAACGCGCAGATTTGCACTTCGCATCGGTCCTTGAACCTTTCTTTCAACTTGAGGCCCGCATTCAAACATTTCATCTGAACTACCCCATCCACTTCTACGAATGCCCGCATAGCAGTCACACCGTGCTGTATGCTCTCTTCGATGAGGCGCGCGCCCCTCCTGAGGAGATCGTCTTCCTCAAACCTTGACTTCGCCTCACCAGTCATCGACATGGCCTCATTGAAATCGCCACTTTCGATCTGCAAGTCGCTGAATTTGGGGTCTTGCAGGAGGAAACACTTGTCAAGATGGATATGGGCATGACAAAGCGATGGCGCTACGAGACGATTGCCTCCATCTAGCGTGTCCTCACTGCGCCCGTCCGAGTCCTTGACATGACTGTCTACCGAAACAATTCTTCCATCGTTGATCGTAATGTCCCAGAGTGTCGACGATGGTTTATCCGGTATACGCACGTTGGCAATTTTCTTGAGGGGTTTCTTTGACGTTTGGTCCTCCATGCTTTCCTCCTCTTCACTCGCGCCAAAGACTAGGGTGCTGGGTATCGACAGGTTTTGCCTGTTAAGGTGCAGATGAGAGAAAAAGAAAGGAAGAAGGAGAACAGGGAATAGCGATAATGACGCTTAGATAGACTTGGAGGATACTAGATCGCTTCA